CCCAGTTCCAGCTTTCTGCCTTCGCTGGCCCCTCCTGCCACCTGTGTCCTCCACCTCGTGTCCTCAGGGCCTTGGGGACATCGATCCGGCCGCTCGCCTGGCCTTTCCGCTGTGGTTTGAAGCCGCTGGCATCTTGCTTTCGGGCTCTGTCCTGCCTGGTGCTGGCTGCATCTCCCAAGGTAGCAGCGTCTGCAAATCCAGTTGCCACGCGCTGCCTCTCTGTTCTGGGCCTTCATGAGGATGCTGGGGCAGCGTCTCAAGGTCACGAGGAGAGGAGAGGAGAGGAGAGGAGAGGAGAGGAGAGGAGAGGAGAGGAGAGGAGAGGAGAGGAGAGGATCGCTAACGTGCCTGTGCCACTGCCCATCTGGGGAAAGAGGCCCGGGTGCCCACGTGTGGTCTGAGTCGTGTCCTCTGGGTTTTGTGAACTTCCCTCCCAGCCTGGGCTGGTTTCCTGCTCCCTCTGCCTCGGCCGCCGCACATTCGTGGAGTTCCCCTTTGAAGAATGAAGAGCTCAGAGCATCTTTCCTTTCATTTTTTGTCCAATTTCTAGCAGGAGAAATAGCCACTAATTGAGGGTTTGAGGGAGAGACGTGTACGTGGGAAAGATGAAGTAGTCATGACTAGGCTTGTTACCTGCCTCCTCTCCATTCTGACTTACTAACCATGACTGGAAAACACACCTCAAGGGCCAGGCACCTGGGAGAGGGGAGAGGAGAGGGCCAGGCACCTGGGAGAGGGGGGAGAGGAGAGGGGAGAGGAGACATCCCGGCGAGACGGTTCAGAAAGAACCGGCCCACAATCTGCAGCCAGAGGGGCACCACGGAGAGGCCCTTGGTCCCTGCCACCCTGTCGGTGGCCCACAGCGGACCGTGAGCATCATAAGGCACGTGCCCTCTGCACTCAGGGAGGAGCCCCTGCGAACGCTGCCAAGCCCGCTCCGCACCAAACTGCAGATGCCAGTCGCAGTGCTGCCGCCTGCCGGGCTGAAGTGCCGCATCGCAGGAGCGGCCCAGCAGGGTCTGCACACCCAGAAAACCGGTCTCTTCCCTTCTCCCCCCTCACAGGCCTGTTCCTAACCGTGTCTCAGTGTCTTGAAGGTGTCTCTGGGCCAGAGCCCCGGCTGCCCAGCGGAGGTGGAGGGCGGCGAGCAGCCTCACACTTCGCCTGCTGCTTGGCGCGAGGTCTGGCCGCCATCTGCGTCCTCCTGGGTCCAGACTGGACTCCCCAAGCCTAACACACACAGAACAACAGTGTTTGTCCCGCTGCTCAGCTCAGACTCATCGCACTCAGACACCTTGCCGGGGTGGCTCAGGGAAGAGGGCAGGTTTGAAGAATTTGTACCAGGCCCGTACTCACTCAGCAAATACTCAGGCACAAAGCACGGCCGGTCCTGAAGCCAGACTCTCAAGTTTGAATAATGGCCCTGCGTGTTAAGAGCTGTGTGACCTTAGGCCAGTCCTTCCACCTCAGCTTTCCCACCTGTAGAATGGGATAATAGCCACCCCCACCTCATAGGGGTGGGAGATTTTTAAAACTAGTGTGTGTCATGTCTGCCTGTCATTTTCACTCCTGGGGCACCACCCTCCCCCAGACACTGTCGAGTCAGAGCCGGCACTTTTTCTATGAGGTCCACGTCATAAACATTTCCAGCTCCGTGGGCCGGACCGAACTCCTCCGAGACAGTTTCGCCCCCACGGGCGGGAGTTCTGACCTGGCGTCGGTGGCACAGAGACCAGCGGGGAGCCTTGCTGACCCGGGAGGGGTGACAGGTCATCTGGCTGGGCTGGAAGCTTACAAACCTTTGCTCCTTTCTGAGGGGAAAGCCAGGGCAGACAGACAGGCTGACGGGAGAGGCTCCTGGACAAGCCGCCCCATCTGCATGTTGGGTTCCTCAGGGACCCACACGCTGACCCCAGACCGACTCTCCTAACCCACACGGTCCTCTGTGACGCCCCTCACGGGTCCTCTGTGCCATCTCTGCACCTGCGTGTGGCCACTCCCTCCCTCTGCCCGCCTGGCCACGCCCAGCCTTGACCCTTGTGTGAAGAGACCTGTAGTGTGGTCACAGAGGAGCGATTCAGTTGTGCCTCAGGTTCCTTATCTGTAAACTGGGGGCATGAGAACACCCGCGTGGGCTGCTGAGCTTTCATGCGCTCACACGTCAAGCGCTCCCGGCGCGGCCGGCCTGTCCACGGCAGAATGCTTCCGTCTCTCCCGCCTCGGTCCTTAAGTTACCGTTAGAATCACACCGTGACCACAAACATCTCCCGGTGGGTGTCCTCCCATCCAGGCTGCAGACGGTAACCCTCCTGCCCCACACGCCGCACGCATGGTCTGGACTGTTGTTTTCTTTTCATTCATGGATGAACCGAGAGGAGCTTAAGGGGGAAAACTCAACAGAGACTCCGGTCAGGAGGGCTGGCCTGGTGACCCCACATGGAAGGGACAACAGAGAAAGGGTTTTCCGTAGAACGACTCTTGGGTGGGCGCAGAGGTCCACATGGGCAGGAGAGTGCCGTCTGGTGGGGCTGGCCGCCACCGAACCCTGGCTGCGGCCCTCGGAAGAGGCCTCCGGGAGAGCCCCAGCCACGGCGTGGCAGGCCTGCCATTGTTTCCACGAGCTCCAAGAATCCAGGCTCCCCACCCAGCACCCCCAAAGGTGTGGCCAAAGGTCAATGCGCTCCAAAGGGGAGCCTGGAGGTATATAAGGGCCCGTCAGGCCAGGCGGACACAGAGGACGAGCAGCGACTCCGCCAGGCCCACGCTGACCACGCGCACGCCGTGAGTAGCCATGGAAGGGGGGTGAGCATGAGCCCCAGCGTAGCCCCTCTGCCACCTTCCATACTTAGCGGGGTCCAACTGAGTGCCCCACGCTGGTTTCGGGTGGCAGGTAAAGGCGCACAGGTAAGGAGAAGCGGGGCCGCCCTGAGCGTGGAGGCCGGAGGGGGCAGGTGGGTCCAATTCCTGGCAGCAGCGAGGCTGTTTGGGGTCAGTGGTGCCATTGACTGCCGGCCAGAAACTTCAGCCCAGACCTCACCAGGGCCCCAGGGCCCCTGTTGTATGGAAGCTTTGCCCTGGACATGAAGAGGAAAGATGGGTCCCCAGGGCTCCCAGGCCTGGCCTCCTCTGGAGGGGCAGGAGTGGACGGGCAGGAGGCAGAGCTGGGATGAGAAGTCAGCCTCAGGCAGCGGAGAGCTCAGCCGCTCCCCTCTGCACCCAGGACACAGTGAATGTAGGAGACATGCCGACTGCCAGTTGGATCAAGAAAATGAGCAGCAATTGGATTCTGCCTTTTTTATTTCAAGTTTTTATTGATTCTTACGGAGTGGATTAATGCCAACACAGAATGAAAAGGGTCTGCAGCATCTCCGTGAAGGAAATGGAACGGCTTCACTGTGACACGGGCATCTCCTCTAGGAGGGGTGGGGGTCAGAGACTGGGAAGGGGAAGGGTAGGAACAAGGGAGGAGCCCAGATTCAGGGCTCCCCACCCCCACTGGCCTCTGTCCCCTCAGGTCCTCTGAGAGAGGGGTCTTCAGAGGTTGGTGGCCCTCCCCACCCTGGGGAACCTGTACGCACCTGGCCTGGAGGCCTTGGCTGTCTGGGTGCCAGTGTTCTTGCTCATAGAGTTTTATCCAGATGAGGAGAGAAAGTAGAGTGGGCACCAGGGTAGCAAGATGCAGAGGAGCATCCGCTGGGCACAGGTGGCCTCAGAGGACTGAGAGAGAGGGCCTGGCAGAGGGGCAGGACACAGCCTGGAAGATTCTTTCTGGGGAGAGACAAGGCAGACCCGGGAGAAGCGAGAGGCCAGCTCAGGCAGGGCTCTCCTGTACAGCAGATCCTGTCCCACCCCCAGGTGAGCCCCGGAAGCTCATTATCTGAAAACCCTCCCTGCCTGGGGCCCGGCAGCCCACCCAGCATAGGAACGCTGGTACCAGGAGTCCAGTCGCAGGTCTGGCCCAGTGAGGCCCCTCCCTGCCTTCTGTGGCCAGAGGCAACATGCGGTGGGGACTGGGGAAAGCATCCCGCCTCAGAAGGCTGGGCTCCAGCCCTCACCCCCTACCCCCTCCCCACCCCTGAATGAGTCCCTCCACCTCCACACGTCTCCTCCCTCCCCAGGTCACACCTGCTCCCAGGTGGGCATGAGGATCACAAGGAAGGGCTAGGAAGGAATCACCCAGGCCAGCACCCAGCAAGCAGACCACATCCTCCTCCCCCGGCCCTCCTGGCCGGCCCTGCCCCCGCCCAGCCTCTGAGTCCTGTCTCAGTCCCACGGCCACCACACCCACTGCTCCCTGCCAGGTCTCTGCAGCCCACCCTCCTGCCTGCATTCCAGACAAAGCCACTTCCTGGATTCGAGAGGGGCCCAGGAGGTGTGGGGTGGCAGCTTGCAGGGAGGGGTGCCCCCTGTTGTTTCCCATGACAGCGAACAGGCAGCTGCTTCAGGAGCTGGGCAGGGGCTGGTTCCAGAGCCAGTGCTGCCCAGCGGGTGGGCCTCACCCCGGCTCCATCTGGTTCTGCCTCCACTGGGCAGGTCTCAGTGCTTTTCCCTGGAGACCTGGAGTAGAGCTGGGCATCTGGGCCTGGGTCCATCCTTCCAACACCCTAATCGGCTCAGGGGGCAGGTTCCCCAGGCCCCGGCATGGTTCTGTGGTATCTAGGGTTTTTTTTCTCTAAGACACGAGGTCCCTCCCACATCAGGAGCCTCTGGGGCCCCAGCATTCCTCACCTATAACAAGAAGGGCCCATGTGGGATGAGTCTGCCCTGGTGCGGGCAGGGGCCAGGCGGCCTCGCCGGGGGCGTGGTCAGCTCTCAGGGCTCTGGGGCAGAGAGGGGCCTGAGCTCACCTGGTAAAGCCCCACACAGGCCCTGTCACAGGGGCTGAGCAGATGTCAGGGTCACACAGCCCAGGCGGGGCCTGGACCAGCGCTCCCGCCTCCAATGCAGCCGCCCATCACTGCCCCCACCAGTGACAGCAGCCCCTGTCGCCCAGCTCCAGGATGGTGTCCCGCAAGGCCCTGGCTGCCCTGCTGGTGGTTCACGTCGCCACTCTGCTGGCCTCCCAGACGGAAGCCTTCGTTCCCATCTTCACACACAGCGAGCTCCAGAAGATGCAGGTAAGAACCCCTGCGGCCCAGTGCCCACCACCCACCACCCACCACCCATGGCCCACCACTCAGTGCCCACCGCCCAGTGCCCACCACTCAGTGCCCACCACTCAGTGCCCACCGCCCACCGCCCACCGCCCACAGCCCACCGCCCACAGCCTACCACTCAGTGCCCACCACTCAGTGCTCACCGCCCAGTGCCCACCGCCCACCGCCCACCACTCAGTGCCCACCGCCCAGTGCCCACCGCCGTGGCCCAGGTGACACAGCCCTGCTCGCACTGAAGAGGTGTTAGGTCTAGAGTCAACCTGCGCTTGATCAGCTCTGCCAGGGGACAGCATGGGGGCCGGGCCCAGGCTCCAGCACCACCCTGGCCTCCACTCCTCTAGAGCCACTCGGTGTCGGGGGGCATGTCTTCCCACCCGGCCACCCACCTCCCGAGGAGCCTCCAGTTACCACGTCAGTGCACATTCGCTCAGCATCTGGGTGAGAGGCCGACGTACAGGGAGACGTACGGGGAAGTCCAAGGCCTCCGTCTTCAGGAGCCAGCCTGGGAGCCAAGACAGACCCGTGGGGAAGTCACTAGCCAGTTAACTGCCCAGTCAGTGCCCTGTCCTAAGTGCTGAGTCCCAGGAGGAGAGGCACTCGGGCTGGCACCTGGGAAGCCCCGGGGGCAGGTGAGACGGAGCTGGCGCCTTGGGAGACCAGGAGGGGCCCTGGTGGGCAAATGTCCGGCAGCGGCCAAGGCCTCCTTCTCTTAAAGCCCAGGCGACACCAGGTGGCAGGACAGCTGGGCGGCAGGACTGCCTCCCGGTGACTTTATTTATTTTTTAAAATATATTTTTATTGATTTCAGAGAGGAAGGAAGAGGGAGAGAGAGAAGCACCAATGACTAGAGAGAATCATTGACCAGCTGCCTCCTGCACGCTCCATACTGGGGATCGAGCCTGCAACCCGGGCATGCACCCTGACCTCCTGGGTTCATAGGTTGGCGCTCAACCACTGAGCCACACTGGCCGGGCCCAGTGACTCACTTTATTTTTTTTTAATATATTTTATTGATTTTTTACAGAGAGGAAGGGAGAGGGATAGAGAGTTAGGAACATCGATGAGAGAGAAACATCAATCAGCTGCCTCCTGCACACTCCCTACTGGGGATGTGCCCGCAACCAATGTACATGCCCTTGACCAGAATCGAACCTGGGACCCTTCAGTCTGCAGGCCGACTCTCTATCCACTGAGCCAAACCGGTTAAGGCCCAGTGACTCACTTTCGATACAGGGGTTCTGAGTGCCCGTGCAACACGGGGTTCTCTTTCACCCGAGGAGATGAAGAAATGGAATTGGCACCTCCTGCCCGTCTGAAGCCAAGGCCCCGCTAGGGACAAACACCAGAGTCAGTTCCCTGTTCTCTGGGAGGTCGCGTGGCCCTGGGGTCGGCTTCCGTATCTGCACCCTCTGTCCCGGGCAGGCGTCCACGTCCCTGCGCAGCGGCCCTGGCAGAGCCAAGGCTGGACCCAGACCCCTCCTTCAGGGACACACCTCCCTCACCCCGGTCCCTTTCCAGAAAAGACAACTGCGGTTCTAGAACCGCCCCTCAGGGCAGGCCCGAGCTGAACCCCAGGGGGAAGGACACACCTCCCTCACCCTGGTCCCTCTCCAGAAAAGACCACCTCGGTTCTAGAACCGCCCGTCAGGGCAGGCCCGAACTGAACCCTAGGGGTAAGGACACACCTCCCTCACCCTGGTCCCTCTCCAGAAAAGACCACCGCGGTTCTAGAACCGCCCGCCAGGGCAGGCCCGAGCTGAACCCCAGGAGTGCCATTAAGAAGCCAGAGCGCAGAGGGGTCTGGTCTGAGTGCTCTGGCCTGGCCAGTGGGGTGCCAGGCAAGATGGGCGCTGGACAGAAAGAGCCAAACTCAGTAGAACATAAACTAGCAAAACGGCAACCACAGGATGCTTTGCGTGAACCTGTTCTGCGGTCTTGCTCCCTGCAATTGCCCGGCTCTAGCTCTGGGGTTTGTATGAAGAAGCTGCAAGCTCCCTCCTCCACATTCATCTCCCTGTCTTCCCTCTTATAAATCCCCTCCCAGGGACTCCAGCTTTGGCCCCCCTGGCGCCCTACAGGCTAGGCTGTCTTCCACCTTTTTTATAGGCTCTCTGCTAAGAAAAACACATTTTCACACCTAATATGCATGCAGGGCAGCCATTATTTTCAGCATTTTAACCTAATTAACAGTAACAATCTGGGTGCAATGTTTGAACTTCAAAGGAGCAGATTCCTCTGCAAGTTGACCTGCTGGTGGGCAACTCGAAGGCCAGTCTTGGGCCACGGTGTCTGCGATTCGTGCAGGAGGCACGGGAGAAGGGGGCTGTGGCCTGAGGGAGCTGGGGCCATTGGCACCCTGGGCAGAAGCAGGCGAGGGCCATCTGGGGAGGAGAGGGAGGGCGGGTTTTGTGCCATTTGTGCTCTGCCCCTAGGAAAAGGAGCGGAACAAGGAGCAAAAGAAATCGCTGGGCGAACAGCAGAGGTCTGAAGAGGTGGGTCCCCTGGACCCCGGAGAGATCACCGAGGAGGAAGACGACCAAGTTATCAAGGTGAGCGGACAGGCGGCCAATGCAGAGACACCTGGTGGGCGCCCCTGGCCAGCCACCAGACGCACCAGAGCTCAGCAGCAAGCCAGGGGTCCAGTAGTGAGCCCCATGCAGTGGGGAGGCAGGCCCCGACATGAGACAGTGCACTGTTTCAGGCACCGAGTAAAGGAGTGTCAGAGAGTGAGAGTAGGATTGGACGGGGCAGTCAGGGAAGGCCTCTCGGAGGGGGTGGCATTGCCTTTGAAACCTGAATGACAAGGAGCCCCTCCATGAGAGCTAGAGCAAGGGCTTCCCCGCCGCAGGAACAGGGAGGCGACGGCCCCGCTCAGGAAGCACCTGGTGGGTGTGCGGTCCTCGAGGCCAGGGGCCTGAGAGGCAACAGGGCCGCAGAGCCTGCTGGGCCAGGGCCACTGGGGGTCCCAAGCAGGGACTTGACTCTGGGCAGCACAAGGAAAGGCAGGAGACTGTCAGGGGGAAGCTGCAGGCACCGACAGGAGAGAGATGATCCGAAACAGCTCGTGTGAAGACCCGGGCCCAGGACCTTCAGCAACAGGTTAGGAGACCCAGACCGTCCGGGCCGGCGAGCCTGGACTGTGTCCAGCACAACTGCAGTTTCACACTCATGTATTCTGACCATGAATACCCCCGAGCCCTCTGTGTATGGCCGGTTCTGGGCCCTGGAGATAGAGCGGTAGACAAAACGGACACGTCAGCTGCCCTCCTGACTCCCTGACTCCAATGGGGGACCAGAAACAGATGCCAGGACGGGCAACATTCCTCGAGCAGGATAATAAGCCCACTGTGCCCCATGGCAGGTAGGATAAGCGCTACGGAGAAACAAAGCAGGGAAAGCAAGGGGGTGGCTGCAATTTAAATAGGGTGATCAGAGCGGGCTTCATCATTGGGTGGTATGAGTGCAAAGACTTGAAGGAATGTTTGGGGAAAGAGATTCCAGGCAGAAGCAAGAGCCGTGCAAAGGCCCTGGGGCAGGAGTGGGCCTGGTGCATCCAGGGAACAGCGCGGAGGCCGGAGGAGCTGCAGCAGAGGGAGGCAGGGGATAGAGAGGGAGATGAGGCGGGATGTGGACGTCATGGGCCATTGTTTGGACTTGGCCTTCACTCTGCTGACTGGGAGTCAGATGCTGAAATATTTTGGAGGCAGAAGCCCACGGGACTTGCTGGAAGAATGGATATGGGATGTGGAAAAGGGGGAAAGAGAAAACCCTTTTTCGGCCGGGACACCGGAAGGATGGAGCTGCCACCCCGGGAGGGTGAAGCCTATGGTTGGCTGCAGGGTGACAAGAGGAAGGTCAGGAGGTCAGAGGGCCTGTAAACTGAGATGCTGTTGGCATCTTGGTGGAGACGATGCAGGCAGGTGGGTAAGTGAAGTGGGCACTTCAGGAGAGGCCAGGGCTGAGACATCACGTGGGAGTCCCCAGCGATTAGATGGAATTCAAGCCGGGACAGGGGGCGGGCAGATGCAGAAGGGAGAGGCCCCAGGACTGAGCGTGAGGCACTTCCCTGTGGAGGCCTGGGAGGGAGGAGACGAGTGAGGCCTTGCCAAGGTCACCCAGGGTCAGGGTAGAACGAGCTGGACTCCATGCCTCCCGCCTCCCCCGGACCCTGGCCGTGATCTTCCCGCCGCCTAGGTCGCACAGCATGCTGTCCCCAAACAGTGAGGTCCGACATGTAGCCCAGAGGCTCCTCTTGGTGCTGCGGCCCCGCATGGGGCTCCTTGGGCTCTGAGGGGGGAACGGGAGTGAGTCCTTCCGCTGGTGAAGGGAGGCTGGCTCGGGCTGCCCTCTTCCGAGCACCGGGGGCAGAGTTAAGGCACCCATTGAGGTTTCCACGGCACAAGCTACATCGATGTAACATCCGGGAGGCTTGGGGGGCTGGGGGGCACCTCACGTCCCCTGTCCATCTCCCTGGAACCATGCTAGGCAGGCCAGGGGCCCTATGGATCGTCCAGCCCAGCCTCCTCCCTTTACAGAGGAAACTGAGGCCTAGAGGACAACCACAGCCAGGGGACGGCATAGGCCAAGCTGGACCCTGAGCCCCACACAGGCCACCCAAGGTTGCCCTGCAGCATCCGAGCCCATTCCCAGCCCCAGGGAGCCGGTGGAGGTGGGAGCTGGTTTGGCAGCAAGACCAGTGAACCAGGAAGCTCTGGGGGTGACAGCGCGATGAGTCTCCAGACACATCCCTAGGGGCTCACTGTGTCCCCACAACGCCAGAGCAGTAGAGCCTGGTGGGCACTGGCACTGACCCTGGAGACAGGCCCGCTGGTTACCATTTTATCCCTCGATACTTAGTACCTGTGTGGCCTCAAGCAAGTTATTCAACCACTTCGTCCTCAGTTTCCTAATCTGCAAAATGGGGACACTAATGGTCTCTACATCATAGGGTTACCGAGAGGCGTAATAATATGCTGAAGGCCTTAGGGTGACACCTGGTGCGTGGTGGCATAGCCTCAGGAGAAGGGGAGGTGTGCGTCCCCCACATGAGAAGCCAGGAGGGTCCTGCCAGCCCCACCCCTCCTGTGACAGCTCCCCCAGAGGAGGTGTGCTGATCCTCCTCCCAGAAGGTCTCAGCAACTTCCAGGATCCAGCCCCCTGGTTAGATCTGGGGTGGGCCGAGTTCCCAGCAGGCCCTGGAAGGCCCTGGAAGCCCAGAGGATCCCAGAGGATGGGCAGGGTGGGGCCGAGCGGCGGGGCGCCCAGGGGTCCTCGGCACTCCCCCCTCTCCCTCTCCGCCTCTCCCTCCTTGTTAACTCTGCCTATTTCACAGCTCACTGCTCCCGTGGAAATTGAAATGAGGATGAACTCCAGGCAGCTGGAAAAGTACCGGCCGCCGTGGAAGGGCTGCTGAGCGAGTGCTGCCCACCCAGAGCAGTAAGGGCGGCGTCACCAGCACTGACACCACCCACCGTGTTAGCATTCCAGGAGCGAGCAGCGGTCTGAGCAGGGTTTGGGGACAGCGATTCGCTTTCCTGCTTTGCACCCGAGAACGAGCTGTTTTCTCCCACAAGCGTGCCCTCCCCTGCCGTGGAGCAGGCGGCTTGATGGCTGTGGCGTCCAGGAGCCCAGCCCCCAGCCAGGGCACCTCCCTCAGTGGCTCAGGCCCGCGTCCCAAACACCTTTCTGGTGACAACCCACCAGCCCTCCCTGCTTCAAAACCCCACTGAGCTGCTGGGTACTCTGAGGAAAACAATGCTGTCTGGCAGCAAGCCTGCATTGTGTTCATCGTTCTGCAAATCGCAGTCCTGAGGCCCTTTTGGCCTTGCCCAGCCCAAGGTTGCCCCAGTTACTTGGGCAAAGCTAGGTCTCTGCTGACAAACAGCCACTAATTCCTTCTCACCTGGGAGCAGGGAAGGCAGCGAGGGACAGGGAGGCTAAATGACTTGCCCCAGGCTACAGAGAGGGTAGAGTGGGGCTGGCTGAGCTGGCCAAACCCCTGGGGGGGGGGGGGGGCCCCTCCTCCCTGGGGCGCAGGCAGCTTTAGAAGGTGGTTTCATAAGCTCCTGGGGACCTGCTGCCACTACTCAGCTGCAAACCTTGATTTTCTCCAGCAGCCAGGTGACCGCCGCTCTGCTCCTGGGAGAACTGCCGCTGAGAGCCTCCACGGAGGGCTGCATGGCCGGCGGCTGGGCTTGGGAGCAGGGCACCCGCTCCCCAGCAAATCCCTCTGCAGTAAATAAAGCATGAAATATACAGAAACGACTCTCTTATTTAATGTCGTAATATCCAAAGGTCAAACTCAGGTCAAGCCATGGGGGGGAATGAAGTTCTGAGGGAGATGCATACATTAGCAAATCATGGGACTTGTCTACGTTCTGTGTTCAAATATTCACTCAGGCCACAGAACTGGGAGATTTGCACTGGCCCTTCCACGACTGGTGAGGAAACTGAGGCCCAGAGAGATGGTGTTTTGTCCACACAGGAGTCTGTGGCTGAGCGAGGACTGGAGTCAGGGCTCCTGCCTCCTGATCCGTTTTCTGTTTCCCAGCGAGGCCAGGTCTAATGGGCCAGTGAGTCTGAAGGCCTCTGCACTCAGCCCCTTGCTGAGTGGCCTCCAGCTGGTCTCTCAACTCAATGAACCTTTGCAGAAGCAGTGGCAGTAGCCACTGAGATGAGGGCATGGCGCACCAGCAAAGAGCAGATACTTGTTATTATCCCTGTGAGTGCCCGCTGCCCGGCCGCAGCACACACACAGCCCCCCACTTAGCTCTGCCTTCTAAACACAACTAGATGGGTGTTCCATTCCAACGTCATTTTACATTAATGAATGTTCACTTATGTATAAGCCAGGGCCATGCAGGAACCATCGGCCACCAGCAAATTAGGCACAGTGCCGTTCCACGTCTCCACCCACCCCACCCCACTGCGGGGGCAGAGCCACGGGTGGCAGTTACTTAAGAAGGACACTCCCCTGGGTGCTCTGAACGCTCCGAGGAGCACCCAAGCCCGCTCACTGCACATTCAGTTCCCAGTGCACAAACTACGAAGCCCAAGCGCAGCTGCAGGGTCCCGGGAAATGCCGCCGACGCCAGGCAACGAATGGCGCGAGGGCCGCAGCGGCAGGTGGGAGAGAAAGAGATGCCACGTAATCAGCTGGTTATTAGTAATAGGAAGGAGCAAAGGGGAGGCCAGACATTGCAAGCGCGGCCATCTGGGCAGCTTCACAGGAAGCTGCAATTTCACACCCCAGGGACCCACGGCCCGGTCCGCGCAGATCACTGGGGAAGGGGCCCAACTACGGGGAGATGGACACAGGCACGGTGAAGCGGGATGACAGGGAGGATGCCTGTCCGTCACCCTGGGCACAGAGCTGAGGGCCGATGCCAGCCGTGGGAATACATAATCCCTAGGCTCTTGGTGACCTGGCTCTCCGGGTTCTTGGCGACGTGGCTCTTGGCTCTCTGGTTCCTTTGGTTTTGCTCCTGCCCGTGTTCCCTCCATAGTCATATGTCCTGTGGACCCCACACGCAACGGTCTGATGAGCTGCAGTGGGGACCCAGCCTGATGCTGGGCTGGACTGCGCCCCCACATGGGGCGGGAGCTCTGGACAACGCAGTAACTCCGGCCCCACTGAAGCCACAGCTTCACCTCTCCCGTGCGGACAGAGGGAAATGGACCTTGGAGACCTCAGGTAATTCCACAGAAACCAGCTTTTACAGTAC